TGCATCACCATGTCTGACCTGGCCCTCCTTTTAATCTTGATAAGAAAGGTTCTTCAAGAATCTACAGAAAGCAAATACTACCTGCTCAAGGAATCATGTCAATGTCCATTTTATACAAGCTGGACCTTTAAGGGAATGAGGGTGGACAGGCTGCATAGCATACTCCTTTTATCCAAGGCCTAGGACAAAGCCAGAAAGAAAGTGAAGGGAGGAACTGAGGGTGCTGAGGGTAGAGGACTGAGCAGAGAATGAGGAGGACTCCTGCCTCCAACTACATTGGGCTTCATCGCTATATAGGTGATCACTCTAAGGTTGTCCATTCACAATCAAGAGTCAGCTTCAGGGCTTTATGTTATTTTGCATGTGTATACATGATATGGCAGGCTGAAGCTGAGTGATTTCAGGATATTTCTAAATTGTGTCTGCTGGCTGGCCATTATAGAAGGGAGCAAAATGCCCTTGAGATTCTCATCCAGCTTCAGCCTCTGTCTGACCACCTTTCATACAGATACTTTCTTGCTGGGCAACCATGCTTGGTTAGACGCAGTGAAGTCCCTAGGCCAGGGGTGATCAGGTCTCAGAAGTCTGGGTGTTCCTTGGATAGATTGAAGTGTGAAGTAGCAGTCCAAGTTACAGTAGTTGCTTTTGCTGCCATCTGGAAGCAGCCAGCCTGGTTGGATACATACCAGAGCTTAAGCAGAAAGTAGGCAAATTGTTGTTTCCTAATCTACACACCTGCAGCACTGAGAACATCCTCTGTGCTGGAAGACTCTGGAAGTCTAGGACTGATCGCTTTCCTGCCTGACTAGTTAACAGTGTGCCTTCTGTAGATGAGCATTTTAATGGCCTTCCAGAAGCTGAACTTCATTGGTTCTAGAAAGATATGGACATCATTCTGGGTTGCCTCTGAATGACTCTAGCCTCCAGTTCTGCAGCTGGAGCTTAAAATTATGGAAGATTAGGCAGCACATTCAGGACTCACTATGGGAGGAGCTGCCTTCTAGAGTACTTACCCTCCTGACATCCACTCTGTAAGCCAGGTAGCACTAGTATCCAAAATTTCCATTTTCCTCACATCTGAAGCCTCCAACCTCAGTGTGGAACCTTTGTCCCTTCAGTAAACTTCTTTACTTACCTTGCCCCAGGTTCCAGCCCAGATCAACTCCTTTGGTCTTGCAAACCCCATGGTTTCAGTGCCTTTAATGTAAATGACACAGCTCTGAAGTCTTCACAACCATTGTCCAGCTCAGCTCTGTCCTCACTGGCCCAGGGTCCAGACTGATATCTACACCTTGAGAATTCAATGCACCTGGATTTTAATGTTAAGAAACAACACAAGTGTCCAGTGTTAATCTGAAAATTTCATTTTTGGACAACGGACTTCAAAACTAGACAGACTTACAATTATGCTAGAAAATGAGGGGCAGGCAAGATGGCTCAGTGGCTAAAAGTGAGTGAGTACTACCCTTACAGAGAATCCAAGTTCAATTTCAAGCACCCACGTTGGGTAGCTCACAACTACCTGTAACTCCAACTCCAGGGGACCCAAAACTTTGGCCTCCATAGACATCTTCATACGTGGGCACATTGTACACACACTCACATACATACACATAATATTTAAAAGAGAGAATGTGGCCAAAAGAAAAGGATCTCAGGGTTCTAGGTCAGTGCAGACACCTGACACTAATCCCACTACTGTAGCATAGACAGTTTTGGAGAGATGAGAGTTGGTTCATTCGAGTGTAGAAAGCCCCTGTTTGCATCTTGAACTGGCTTTTTCCTACAAGACTACAGTGGCCATGAAAAGACTTAATTTTGTCATCTAGAAAGGAACTGGAGACCCAGAACAAAAATAAGCAATGAAAAGCACTGCAGAATATTTACCTACTAGAAATAAAAGATTGTAAATTTAGGTTCTAGAGGGACAAGATGCTTAAGAGTCCCAAGTCCCAAATGATTGCATGTGACCCTTTCCAAACCAAAACCCTTGCACTAGCCAGGTCTGGGTCATATGTTCAGTTCTCTTTCTGCTGCATTCAAATGAAAACAATACCCTACCTTGCAGTGTCACACCAGAGGGCTCCTCCACTTTCAGTGCCAGTACATACCTGGATCGCCTCAATGTGGACACTTAAGATGGGCTGAAAGAATGCCAATGAAGAGGTAATGTTCTGGTACAAGATTCTCTGATATCACAAAGGGCCAATCACAACTCACAGGAGCCATGTAGGGATCCCTCCCAATGCCACATTTGAGATGGTCTGATGTGACTTCATGGATCTGGCTTCCCAACCACCAGATGCCAGACTGCCTCATTCATCTTAAAAAAAATTTATGTATAGGTGTTTCACCTGTATATATGTAAGTGTACCACATTCACACATTACCTTTGTAGGCATGGAATCCCTTGGAACAGAATTTACAGAAGACTGTGAACAACCATGTGCATGCTGGATGTTGAACAAAGCCTGTTTCTCAGCATGAGCAGCAAGTGCTCTTCATTTCTGAGCCATCTCTCTAGCCCAGCCTTAGCCCTCTTGATTGATCCAAACCTGACTTCTGTGGGCCTGAAACAGCAGCATACACCTAT